TGTAAATCAGCTTCTTCATTATTTTCTTCATCTTCATATTTGTAGTATTATTATTAGTAGTAGTGTTGTTGTTATTATTATTATTATTATTATTATTATTATTATTATTATTATTATTATTATTATTATTATTATTATTATTATTATTATCAACATCATCATCATCATTATCATCATCATCATCATCATCATCATCATTATTATTATTATTATTATTATTATTATTATTATTATTATTATTATTATTGCTGTTTTTCTGTGGCTACACATGTATTTCTGAGAAACGGACATCACTGGTGAGAACGATACGAATAAAAGAGGTTTTACAGCATCTACAACTCTTCTTTGACTTGACCTACGTGACTGCACGCAGGACAATGCAATATGCTAGTAGCCTAATATATTGGTATTGTTTAAATGTTTATTTATACTAATTTATCATAATCATCGTTAGGGAATAGTCGCCACAATGCCTTCTCTCGCACTTGATTTTGTACAGCCCTTACAGGTAACATCAAGGTCACGCGTTTCTAGAGAAAGGTCAGGAGCTTTTACCGTAGTACCCAAAATGTGCACAAAAATACCCAACCATTACTAAACTCTATAAAAGTGGTGGGACAAAGTGATTTAGAAATATTGAATAATGCTATAGATTTTTTTAAGCTTTGTATGCATTCTATCTAGTCTAAATTATTTTTAAATTAAACACCATCTATTCAGAACTTTCCGAAAACAACCATTCTTCTTTCGCGTAGAGATATGAATTCGTTGTTAGCGGCGGTGAGGTTTACGTGATTGGCTCTTGTCCGTGCGCATAGAAAACCTCTTGACCGAGTAGGGTTCATCCTCGTACAGAATCATAAGTCTTCGCAGTAGTCAGACGGAACGCTCATTGCTAGCATTGTGTCCAGCGCCACAAGCATAAGTCTTCGCAGTAGTCAGACGGAACACTCATTGCTAGCATTGTGTCCAGCGCCACAAGCATAAGTCTTCGCAGTAGTCAGACGGAACACTCATTGCTAGCATTGTGTCCAGCGCCACAAGAATCAGCGTCTGCATTCAGTTTGGAAGAAGGATTTTCTCCCCTACCCCTTTAACATACCCATCAAATTTGATTTCGTTAATAGGGGTCATCGACGTGGATGATAAGTCCGTATTTTTTCAGTCCGTATTTCTGTATCTTAACTAGAACTATGTAGATTTTTTTCCACAGGCATCTGCGGGTCGATATACTGTGATGGACCATATCAAATCTATATAAAAACCCCATTTTACACTCAGACAAAAACATCGTTCACACTGATAAACAAAATATTTGAAAAGAGTAAAGGAGGAGTGTAAACACAACAAAAGATCGTAAGTGTGTTTCCTCCGAGTCGGGAGAAAGATGTTAATTTGAATACTTCTCTGTGAATGTCAACGTGGCACTACGTTTCATTCCGTTGACTCATAACAAACCAAGCATTTATTTTCTTGTATTTATGGTATATACATTTTTAAATCTGCGCCGTATTAGTAAATAAGTTTCGTTATATATGAAGAAACCAAGCGTGTATTTCTTGGTATGAGAGAGAGAGAGAGAGAGAGAGAGAGAGAGAGAGAGAGAGAGAGAGAGAGAGAGAGAGAGAGAGAGAGAGAGAGAGAGAGGTCGTCCATTAATTATGTCAATGAAACGGGGGAGGGGGTTTGAAGAAGTTTGACAATTGTTGACATGGGAAGGGGGGGATTCAAGATAAATTGATGTCAACAATGTTATTTTTTACAATAAATTTAATAAAGCAAAAAATAGGGTAATAGGAATATAAAGGCTCGATTTTTTTCATGAATTCAAACTGTTATAGTCAATTTGAAGTCTGATAAACAAGTTAAACAATTTTATTTTTATTAAAATTTATTTGTATACCTTTTAACTTCCATAATTCTATTTTTACTATAAAAGCCAGCCGTATAAAATATTATTAGTTTGCAGGGGGTTAAAAAAAAATTTAGACATTATTTTATTAAATGGGTGTACCTGGAAGTTAGACAGTTGTTGACAAGTGGGACGGGGTAAAAAAAAAATTGCCTAAAAATTGTTAGGAGGGTCACTAGAAGTTAGACACTGTTGACAAGGGGAAGGGAGGTAAAAAAAAAAGTGTTGACATAATTACTGGAACTCCCCAGAGAGAGAGAGAGAGAGAGTGAGAGAGAGAGAGAGAGAGAGAGAGAGAGAGAGAGAGAGAGAGAGAGCGATGATAGATGAGAGATGATGATGATGATGATGATGATGATGATGATGATGATGATGATGATGATGATGATAGTTCGTTTCTGTGTCGATAATGTGTATCTTTTATAATAATGGTCGTGCCTAAGCGTCAATTAATAGCTGAACGCTCCATGGACCGAAAATGAGAGCGTGAAGACACTTCGTTTTTACGTCGATATCACGTTCCTTTTGTATTATTGCTCGTGCCCAAGCAAAAGTTATTACTTGAACGCTCTTTTGACTAGAAAGAATTGTTGTTGCTGTTGGGTTTAACGCCATTTTTCAGCACAAGATAGAAAGAACCACCGACTCACGAGAAGCAACTGGCAAGCTTTCTCACATACCCACATTGACTAATTCTAGACTCGAACCCAAGCAAAGGTGAAATAGCAGTGATCCGTAACGGTGAGTGCTTTAGACTACTCGGCCACTTGAGACGCCGAAAGGAGTTGTGTTGGAATTTTAAATAAGTCCCCTTCTTACCTAGTTTTATTTTTTTTATAATTTACTCTGTTGAGTATTTAAATCATATAAGACATTCTTGAGAAGGGGAAAGAACAACTTTGTTTGAGTTAACATTTTTACAAGACGAAATTTAGTAAACAATTGTCTAAGTCATTTATCGTGAATAAATTGAATCATCTCACTTTAGTCAAGGTTTTAAATTACAACCTTTACAACAATTAATATTAACAGATCAAATTCATATACCTTATGGTACTTACCGTTATATTTTTGGGAGGTACTCCGATTTTCTTTTAAACGGATATGTTTTGTTTTATTTTATCTGAAATCAATTTTTTTTAAAAAAAATATAAATATAATAGATATAATAGAGTGTTATTTTGCTAAATTCAGAGCAAGATATTTTGCATTTATTAACAGATTGAAATGTTTAAAACAGAAATCAGAAATTGATCCATGATATAATATAATCGGGTAAATATCGCGGTAGATTAGGAAAACCGCGGTACAAAATCTAACATGTTACCAAGCTCTACAAAAAAGCTGTCCTAGCTATAAACCCAGATAAGATAGGTAACCTTGAAATCAAAGAATGCTATCAAGCTCTTAGTTGTAAGTCTGTCAGAGTAGTAGTAGTAGTAGTAGTAGTAGTAGTAGTAGTAGTAGTAGTAGTAGTAGTAGTAGTAGTAGTAGTAATAGTAATAATAATAATAATAATAATAATAATAATAATAATAATAATAATAATAATAATAATAATAATAATAATAAAAATAATAATAATAACAATTTATCAATAAATAAATAAATAAATAAATAAATAAATAAGAGAAGGAACATCATTAACAACATTTATCATATTCATCAAGGATTTATATCGCAATAAAGTTGTGTTCACGAAGTACAAACATGCAAGCAGGAAATTTACATTGAACCCCAAGGTCAATTAGGACTTGTTTCAGGCAGTGCAGGTGTATTGTGTTATATTGTTGATCGAAAGAGAGGCTTAGGGTGTGTATCTCCGATATGGCAGTTCGTAATCCTGGCTTTTTCAATGAGGAACTTTTGTGACTGGAAGTAACTAACGACCTAATTATGGCGGACATAACTACTCCTCATCCGCGTATTGAATAGAACGAAGGATGAATTGCATTCACCGTATGAATGTAGACACATTTTGGACTTTTAAAAATGCTCATTGTACAACATTGATAACTTTCATTTTTAAACTAGGTATCTCTAGCTGTAACCATTAGAGCGTGATCTTTCCAGGGGGTGGAGTTTGAGGGCGTGGCAACGTAGAGGGAGAAGTCTCCATTTACCTCAGAAATTTTACTTGGAAAGATGGAATTTCTTTCTCTACAGTACATTTCATACAAATATGTATATGTACTCTACATTCATTAATTTAGACCACCAACAACAAAAACAACAACAGCAATAATAATAATAATAATAATAATAATAATAATAATAATAATAATAATAATAATAATAATAATAATAATATTGTTAATAATAATAGTAGTATTGTTAATAATAATAATAGTATTATTGTTAATAATAATAATAATAATAATAATAATAATAATAATAATAATAATAATAATAATAATAATAATAATAATAATAATAATAATAACGGCTTCTTCCACTACCAGTTATACTAGACGCAATATATAGTTTATCATACATAAAAAATGCGGTTAAACAGAAAAAAACTTTTGACCCCTATATCATTAGGACAAAAATTGAATCAAGGGCATGTCAATTATCACAGAGACGCTTTGAAGGGTGAGGAAGGTCATGAACATGAATCTAAACCATTTTAACTGTAAATAAATGCAAGATTATTTTAACTGTATTGATATTTATTAAGGATGCTTAATCAAGTCCAGTGATATTTTTTATTTATTTTCTCTTCTAAAACTAATAGTTTCAGCTTGATTGAGATTATAAGATACCTATTTAACTCTATTTATTCATATCAATCCATCTATCTGTCAGTCATGACTTAAACTTCAACGCTTTATTACTGAGTATACATCTGAGTCATTTAATTTATTTGATATATTTCTTCCAAAATCATGCCTAAATAGATAAAAATCAAACTGAAGTAAGGAAATATAAATAGTACGCAAATTCTAACCGAGAGGTTAAATTTTCGGCTGAAAGTCTGAAGCAAAATCAATACGGGGTGGGGTGGGGTGGGGTGGGGTGGGTGGGGTGGGGGTGGAATATTCGTATCTTTTCAAGATGCATATAAAGAGTTTTGTTAATCAATCGAGACCGCTCAGGTAGCTGAGTGGTTAGAGCATCCGTGTCGGATGAAGTAAGTCGCGGGTTCAATCCCCGCCCTAGTCATACCAAAGACTCTTTAAAATGGTACTAGCAGCTGCCTCGCTTGCCTCTAAGCATTAAGAGGTTGGTGTTGGCAACGGTCGGCATGGTTTCAGGATAGTGTGATTGGGTGGGACATGATGCCACATGTCTGCGGCACGATGCCCCATCTCTAAACATCACTATAAACTGTTACACTGCAGACATCGTAGTGATATGAATGAACAACAATTGTTACAGTTCTCTCTCTCTCTCTCTCTCTCTCTCTCTCTCTCTCTCTCTCTCTCTCTCTCTCTCTCTCTCTCTCTCTCTCTCTCTCTCTCTCTCTCTCTCTCTCTCTCTCTCTCTCTCTCTCTCTCTCTCTCTCTCTCTCTCTCACACACACACAATCACACATTAATATCTCGCTCCCGCTCCCGATCAGAACGTATCTGCAGGTACTCGGCGAGTCCTTGTTTCTACATACAAATTCTCACCCTCTACTACGATTTCCCCATCAACACTAGTATGTATTATGGATACTAGGAATCATCGTCGACATCATGGCTCTTGTTGCTTTTGTTCTTGCTATCGTTGTTATCATAATCATCAAAATGTATTATTATTATTATTATTATTATTATTATTATTATTATTATTATTATTATTATTATTATTATTATCTTGCTGTTGTTGATGATGATGATGGTGATGATGATGACGACGACGACGACGATGATGATGATGTTATGCGACCATACAAGTAATTCTGATAGACATAGTTGTGGAGTACGTGATAACATACAGAACGATGTGACGTATTAGTCGACTAATATATAGGCGATGTTAAAATGATTCCCTCTGCTAATATATCATAATCTTCGTTTGAGACAAAAGGGAATGGTCACCACAATAACGTGGTTGATATAATTTATTTTGTACAGCCATATTAGTATATCAGCAGGATCACATTTCTACCCCTCTGCAGGTTTCATCATACAGTGACGATAAAAACGATATAGAAATATGTCCTACATTTTATTGCTATATTTCGCCCTTACTATTTTTTCTTGTTTTTCTATGTACAGTTCTGATTATTCAAAACTCTTAGAGAAGCATCCTGAATGAAACGTTCTCTACTTAAAACTTTCCGAAAACAACCATTCTTCTTTTGCGTGTATATACGAATTTGTTGGCCGCGGCGACAAGGTTTACATCACTAACTCTGTCGCTAACCGTATGTTAAGTTTTGTCTCAGTCCGGGTCATCCAGACGTATGAAACAGTTCTCGTTACGCACACAAGAGACAGTAATTGCTAGTATTTGTGGCCATAAGAATCAGTTACTCCAGTATCTGTAATGATATTGGTGACTAATTGGTTCAGATAAAAATAATGGGGGGGTAGATGGGGATGGGTCCACATACCCATTTAACATTACATTCAATCTGTATAATCCAAATTTTTAAAATTCCATTCACAAAGATAGATAAAAATTATTAGAAAGAGTAGGGAGGGGCACGTTATGAATATTAAAAGGAAATCGCATACGTGTTTCACAACTTCAGGAGAAGGATAATGCATATCTCAGTCTGGCGGCGTCAACTCAGCCCTATGACATCTTAAAATTGTTCATTCCCGGTGACAGGGGAAAACACACTCATTTAGTTTGGTGAATTTATTGATAAACACCATGCAAGAAGACAATTTATATGATATTTAATGAAGATATCATGCTTTTCTTGGTCATAAACAGATGTCCTGTTTCGTTTTTACGTTCACAGGATGATTCGTTTATATCGTGAACGCGCCGAGTAAAAGTCAAATCAAGAATTCACGAAGAGTCTGAACGTTGTACTCACCGAAAATACATTGTTGTAATTCACGAGAAAAGTCTATGCTTCTTTTCTTCTTTTATCTTTTATCCTTTTTTTGCATTGCTGAGTATTAATTTTCGTACACATTGTTGAGAAAGTGAAACACATCAACTTTACTAAGAAAACTATATTCTTACATGTTAGAGTTAACATGTTTGCAAGATAAAAGCAACACAAAAATCTTTTCATCGTCCTTGACCTTGGGGCTGTTACGGTGAACAGCAGATCATTGACATACCCACATGCCACAAGGAACGAGTTTACAAGTTTTTAATATTTTACTATCACTGCTGGTGTTCCAATTTATTCACATGCCACAAGGAATGCGTTTACAAGTTTTTAATATTTTGCTATCACTTCTGGTTTTCCAATTTATTAGCAATAACTCTTAAATGTTAGTGGCAGATCAAACTTCACAAGTTCTAGTGTTTTCCAAAACCTATCGCTTCCTTTTAGGATTTTTTTCATTGCAGACAACATGAAAATATTACCGTCCCTCATAAATGGGAGGGCTTGACAACGTGAGAAACACACACACACACACACACACACACACACACAACGCACTTCGAGAATGAAGATTTGACGAAGGAAGTCTCCAAGTTAAAGTTTTGAAAAAAGCTCTTGTTATGAGATTTATGAAGAATTTTATTTACATTAAAATTACTA